TCAGATACATACACACTATGATTTTTGAAGATTTTATTAAGTATGAGGATAGTTTCCATCATGAACTTAGAGTAAATATATAACCGGCATAAACCAGTGAATGGTAAATAACAGTTTAATCATAGTTTGAAATTCTTTAGCAATGGGCACTAATAAAATCCAATAATCGAATACTTAGGTCTTATAACAAATATGATTAGAAATATGATCTTTCACATTTTGAATTTCGACCAATTTTTGATATTATTTAACATTAAGTTGGTATCTCATTTTCAATCTTTATGATTTCTTTTTAAGCTACTGATTACTTTTAAAACAGAATAAGTATTGTGCAATTCTGGATAACCACAAATGGTGCTGAAATAATTTGTAACGTCGTGATTAGAAGTAGTCGATAGGAAAGCCTGGACCTAGGTTTCGTGCTATTTTGCACTCGTCAGTAAGGTGAACCTGTGGTCTTGAGGGAACTGATGCTCTTTGGCAGACTCGATCACATGTCATCATCGAGCTATCGAGGCCGTGGCTGACTTCCTGAAGAACTGAGTTATATTTATAATTTGTTGATCACTCACTGATTACTAAGAAGGACCTGACACACATAATATTGGTCATTACCCAGTGATCAATCAGTCGTAAAAATAACTGTAGTTATTTCTGTTTTCCAATGACTTGTCTATCTGATATCAATATATGATATAAAAAGTATTTTTTTAATAATATTCCGTTAACCTATTTACGTTTCCCTTTTTGAAAATATAGCTATCGGCATACGGTTGTAGAGATTGCTGAATTTTGTCGAAATCATAAACCAATCTAAGTTAATCATTGAAGACCTGAAAGTACCGGATTGCCGTTTCGTCCTAGTATGGGACTTCTCGGCAGTGCGCATCTAAGACCCTGCAACCGGTAATCAAACCTAGATACTTTTTGATTATGACCATCTAATGTTAATAATTTATTTTACTTGTTGATTACTTTCTGATATAAATAACTGTTTTGATTCACTAATGGTGTCTGACGTTAGGTGATCAAGTTTTCGGTCGTCTTAACTTCATTCAATTTGAGTTGATGGATTTGTTTCATTAACAAATTATCAATCACTTATCAGTATTTTATAAATTCATTACATAATCTGAAATTACTATTTTACAATTCATACAGGTAGAAGACAATTTAAACAATTACCATAGTTAAATTAGTAATAATAAAGAATATCATTAAATTGTCTATATGAATAAATACAGTTATGTATAAAATAAAAAGATTTCATATTTGTGCAAATTCCTGTTTAGTTCTTAATGACACTCGTTTTTGTGAAATTAAAAGAAGGTAAACTTAACAGACGGATAGATTTGTACACATAAACAAATGTGACAAACAAAAAATATATTTTAATAATTGAATTCATGAGTCGATATAAGCTAGACCACCACAGGTAACCTGGAAATACTATACCACCATTTCGTTCTAGTATGAGACTCATCATCAGTGCGCTTCCATGACCCCGTACGCAGGATTCGAACTCAAGTCGTTCTATTTCGCGCGTGAACGCTTAACTTCTAAACCACTGAGTCAGCATTCAACAGTATTGATTTCTAACTTCTATCGATTCATAAATGGTTGCGCAACCATTTAGTGCTTCCAGGTTTTCAATGATGGTCTAGCTTATATTGACTCATAAATTTAATCATTAAAATTACTACAATCATCACAATCTCCACTCTGATCATTAAAAAATATATATATTTCACAAGCTCTAATTCACGTATTGTATAACATATTGTTCTGTGTGCTACTCAATTCGTATTAGATCAACTATTCAAATGTTTAATGTATAAAATGTATGTTAATTGTGTTATAAACATTAAACAATGACTCATAGTTGTTCAAGGTCACATAATTTTTATCACATGAGTGTTATGTTTTGATAAGTGTATCAAATGGAATTGAGTTTAATCATAATATTACCAAAACATACGTAACTTTTTTTTAACGATTAGATACATAAAATCTTAACAACTGAATAACATGCGTGTGTGTGTGTGTTAAAAACACTTAATTGATAAAACTGAACCGAAATTATCACGAGTGTATATTGGATGCATACTGATGGCGAAATTTGTGTGTATGTGTGTGTGGGGGGGATAAAAAAGCCTAATATAATTCATTTCATTTTTTAGATATTTCCAGAAGATGAATTCAGTAGGCATACAATTAGAAATTGAAAGAATAAGGATATGGTATAATATATTTTTGAAATGATTCAATGGCCATCGTATTTAAGATCCTTAAATGGGAATTTTCTTATTTTATCTTTACAAGTGTTTGCTAAGATTAATTATTTGATAAATATATTGAGTAAAGATTGTAAAAACAAAGGTTTGATAAAGAAAGTGAACGGCTCAATATTGACCCATTTAGTACAAACCGGTCATAGTACCAGTATAAACCAATCTTTTTCAATTATTTATAAGGTCAGTAATTTTTTGCCAAAACTGGTCAGACTTAAAGTTCTTCAAACGGCTGAAGCAGTAGTCAACCGGATGAAGAAACCGGAGCTATGCATACAGAAGAAATATATTCAACCAGTCCTCCTCCCCTGGCCAACATCAAGGCCAATTAATCGATCGTAATCTTAACTATTGAATGACCCAATTTGACTACGACCTTTCGCAGTCAATTGTAATTGTCTCTGTTATCTTTATTCATAAATCTTCGTATTATCATTATTATTATTTGTATTATCGGTTAAACATCATTAATCTCCCCTATACATGATTCATTCACTTCGCATTCATCCCTCCGTATTACGTCTTACTTATTTGATCGAATTGTAATTGCACTATTACTTCTCTCTCACCCTATTTGACCCATATTTATTCTGATCATGGATCTTAAAATTTCACTTAACATAAACGCAGATTCAAGTTAACATTCTACATGAGTCATATTAACATTAACAATTTTATCAGAATGGGTTTTGTGGAGATTTTTTTTAGAAATTTCACTGGTTGGAATCATGAGTCAATTGAAGCTAGACCACCATGGAAAACCTAGAAGCAATCCTGCGGGGTGCGGGATCATGGATGTGCACTGCCGAGGAGTCCCATACCAGGACGAAACGGCCGTTCAGTGCTTCCAGGTTTTCCATGGTAATCTAGCTTCAATTGACTCATGATTTCAACCAGTGAAATTAACAATTTTATTGTATTTTGTTTATCATATTCCTAAGTTCACATGTATTAAACGATGTACTTTGCCCTTAACTTGGCCATTTTTCGGATTATTAATTTGGATATATAATTGTAGAGCGTGAAGAGAATTTATCGAAAAGAATATTCTTCGTTCAAATACTAGTTTTTTTAATATGACGGGGATCTTTAAACGATTAAAAAAAGATGTTTATCACTTAATTTTAGAGTATAAAACTAGAAAAATTACAAATAAACACTTATGAACAGATTCAATACATCGTTCTCTTTCTTACAGTTTGATTATTCAAATGATAATTATTCCTGAAAATGATCTTTATGTTAATCAACTTCGTTTAAACCTGTAGTGGATGGGTCCTATGTCGAGCCCACATAGGTTATTCTAGCCCCTGGACAAACCAATTTATCAATTCTTCTCAAGTTATATTTTGATCTTGTTAATTATTCACTTATCAACCTTGACTGTTTTTATGTAAGCGTATGTGTGTGCATTTCTTATCTTAATCATCATCACTTATTTCTGTCTTACTATATATATATATATATATATATATATATATATATATTCACTCTGGGTTAAATTGAGTTGGTTCACTCGACTTCTCCATTACGTAAAATTTCGCTTCACTCTCTTCACTTAGTTCCTTTGATTATCCATCCAGATCAAAGAGTGTACAAAAAATACATATTCAAAAATCCATTCTCCTATTTGACTTATTTAATTCCATTATTCACTAACGCCATTCAAGTCGACGATTATATACGAGGATTGGCAACATATATATGTTTCTACAGGAATCATTCAATAACAATCATTCATACGATCTAATTGGAATCAGATTCATGGCTACAAAAAACTACCAAGTAATCAAATGTATTGCTACCTAATGAGTTTGGAAATATTATCATAATGATATTAATAAATAAAGAAATATGATTCTAAAACATTTAAACTAATCTATTGTGTCATTGAGAATTTAGTGTCATTTTGATATTTGAAACTTCGGATCATCTTTATTATCCAGTCTTTTTTACGCTCTTTCATAGACTTATATATTGATTTGAACAACTGTAAGTACGAACCTACAGCTTGAGTCAATGATTTCGTCGAGAATAAAATTTTCTTCGCTGAATTCTCTTTGTTTTAAATTTTTATTTATTATAATATCATTATGACCATTTACTTGAAGATGTATGTCCCAAAATTCTTTTTCGAATCTAATGTAACTGAACAAGACATTGACGTGGTCAACTGTTATGTGGTTTATGGAGATTTCATTAACATAAAGGCTGATTATCATATCTTTATTATGGAGTCAATCATAAGCAAAGTATGTGTATCACTTTAAGACATATCAGAGTAGTAGAAGTAACAACAGTATTAACGTTAGTAGAAAAGACTAAACATAAACTATCTGGTTCAAGAAGAAAGAACTCAGGATGATAATCAGTTAGTAATTTGGAATCAAGCGGTTTTGAGTGGTTCCAAACAAGGACTAAATACCTATCCGTTAGTTTATAATTTCCAACGTTCAACTAGTTGATATAACTTCAAACCGGAATCGAACCTCGGACTTTTAGATCAATATAGTAAATACATTATCATTGAGACAAATGATTTAAAATTCAATTGTTCACATTTCAAATTCAGACCCATAGGTACTGGATGTGATCCAATGCACGATAGTGAATAAAGACTACCTATTCATTGCTCACTATTTTGCAGTTTTCCTTTACACAACCATTCTTTATAATATTAATAATAATAATAATAAGGTTACTTCTTACCAGGATATATTCTATTAATATATTGTTCATTTGCATTATGTTCCATTTTTGAATAAAACAATGATGTTGTATGCTCATAACTTAATTGACTCTCATGACGATTGTGATGATGATGATTCATTGTTAAATCAATTGGTTGATTATTATTATTATTATTATTATTATTATTATTATTATTATTATTATTATTATTATTATTATTATTATTATTATTATTAGACTGATTGACATATTCAGGATTCTTTTGTATTGATAATTCATTAAAAATGTTTTTCTCTTTAATTGTTTTCTGAATATCTATAAAGTAGTGGAAGAAAAAAAAAGAAGGAAGAAAGAATGTGCAAAGATTGATACTATATACAAAGAACAATAATAAGTCTATAAAATGATTTTCATACCAGCTATAAAGCTAAATGCTAAGTGTTGGTTGAATAACTATGTGAATTTCACTAACGATGATGATGTAATTAGAGAAATTAATTTACACTTATTGAAAGTTAAAACGAATGTATGCTGATCTGTGACATTCTTGTCTTTGTTTTAATTATGGAATGTAAAGTTCACAAAGTTGAAGAACAAGCAATAAATACTGACTTCTTTAAGCTGAAGATGTATGACTGCATTTTTTCCCTAAAGATTTCTCATATATATTGGGGAAACCTCTTAAGTACCTGTAACAATAAAGAACTCTCATTTTTAAAACATTAAGCATTCCGTTTACTAGAAAACTTTCATTTTTAGCATAAACAAAATAATAATTCAAGTAGTATTGTCATCTACACATCGTATCCTTGTTAATGTTATACCATTCACTACTTGTTGAACTTGGAAATGAATGGGAAAAGTATAAGAGTTGATCAGTTTGTGGAATAGAATTTAGTGACCTAATGAATTTTTTGAATATAGATCTATGACGATCATACTACAGTTTTCTGTAATATTTCTTAATAACATTTTGATATACTTTCAAACTCAATGGTCTCGTACTCGTCAAAAGACTTAAAAGTTTTGACTATAATCCAGTGTGTACGCTTTAGACTCAATGCTTTATAATCTCATAAGTTGAAATACCTCTTCAATCTTATCTAAATTTTATTTCTTCCATTGATAATGACAGTCTGTCATGAATTTTTTTTCCAAATCTAATGTATAATATTTATGTGTCGTAAAATACAATTAATGGTTTAAATCATTTAGCATTTACAGCATATTTATGTATAAATAAATAATTGTGTATTGTGTGCGTGTTCGCACTAAAATACCTCAAATTAATCAACTTAACCACAAAGCAGATAGACCAATATAAAAAATTACCAGAGACATAATATGCCACTGGAATGATTGACAAGTTAACATAATGATAAATTGGGAAAGCCACAGATGTTTATATTTTTATGTGCATGTGAGATAGAGAACTATGATGGATGAGGATTATGGGACTAATGTTTAAAAAAAATAGATAGTCGAACTTAATAAAATACATAATTAGCTTATTTGTAAACTTTCTAAGACATTAAATAGTTTTTTGTTTGTGTTTCATGACTGTCATAATTGTGATCTGTGCCTTTGTTAAGGTTAAAGATTCATTTCATAAGGATGGCAGAATCACAATTAATTCATGAAAAATAAATAATAGTAGACAAAAGCTATCGTTCGGTATTAAAAAAACACATCCAAGAAAGACTTCCTCCAGCTAAAAAGCTCATCTGATGATCATAAAGTCTGTTGTAGAAAACTACAGTAGGATACTCACTGGCTTCTATTCTCAGTTAAGTTGGATAACGTCCCAAGTCACTTGGTTGTATAATCATCAGGACAATAAAATCGAAATCATGATGGCCCAAAATGTACCATTCCTGTGTTCCTGTTTTTTATATCACGAATTTATAGACTAAACTAATCACCTCTTCAGTTTTTTTTATCCAGGCCCAAGTAATAAATGGTGTGGAAACCACTGGGATGTCTAATAAAGCATGATTAGTTCTAAGTCATTCAATGAAAACTCTTAATTTCAATAAATGACTAGATTTAATCAAGAATAAATAGTTGATCTTTTCATTATACGCAATAAATGTTAAAATGGTACATGTTGATCACTACCTGTAAGAGTTATATTCAGTCGATATCAATATGCAACTTCTTGTAGGACGAAGAGAGTTCTGCCAGTTTAATCAATCTCACAAATCGGTGATAATAACAAAGACAGCTAAATTGATAGCTTTGTTCACGGGCTGAATATGTATTAAGAAATCAGAACTACTTTTTACCTACATACAAAATATCCATCTAAAATGTTATGACTAAGAATTATGCACCAATTTGTATAAACGAGTGAAGATGTAGATCACAAAATAAAATTATATTTACTCACTATCATTAATTATAACAGAGAGGTTATGTGTTCGTGTGAGAGACAGAAGGTTCGATTCCCGGGTGCAAGGTCGCGAACATTCAATGCTTTCACCATTTTAATGGCTGTCTAACTTGGACTGATTCGTAACTTCAGTGTAATTTAACAAAAATATTACATTTCAATGAATAGAATGATTATCAAAATCTCTTTTAAGGTACTATATATTTAAAGATAAATTACACTTACCTGTATTGGCTTTTTCAAAATTTTCAACTGGATATAATGTTGAACCACTCACTGAAGAATGCATTGATAATGATTGACTTGTTGGTGCGATCGTCTCAACTTTGAATAAATTCGATGACATATTTAATAGATCCCATTTCCATGAATCATTATTCAAATCACTAAAACATATATCCTGACAGTGAGTGAAATTTGACTCTCGATAATAATTTAATGGATTATTATTATTATTATTCATCGTTGAAAATAACATTCCATGTGTTGATTACTGATTTCATACATATAATCTGCATAAAAATTAAGAGGAGAAAAAAAGGAATGAAAATCATTCGTTGCAATAAAGAAACAAGACAACAGACACCGTGTAACATTTATTCATTCAACTTGAATGTTAATTGAACCATTTCAAATTATTGGTCACCTTTACTATAATAATATTAATAGTAGTAATCAAACGTTCATTTCACTACATATAATACTGTTATTTATGAATATACAAGCGTTATGTTGTATGTACTGGTGTACTTCTAAAAAAACCCTATAAATTATGCCTATATTAATGCAAATTAAATTTTCAATGTTCCATAAAGTCCAATTATAATCTAAAATGTTTGTCACATAAGTTTATCTGTTTAGACATAGTAAAATTCATCAATATAAATGGCTATATTCATACAAATCTTGGTAAATTTGTATGGACATTTGTTGAAACTTAAAGAAAGGGAGAAATTATATATAAAATTCTCTTGTATTTACGATGATTTCAGTAACTGAACTTTAAATAATTCCAACTTTTCAACATGTAATCAAGTCTAAGCTTGTTTAGGGAAATAATACAAAATAAAAATTGTCAAAAATAAATAAAGTCTGTAATAAAACTATACTAAACTCTTGTTTAATCATATTCAAATCTTGATATCGTTCATGGTAAGAATGTAAATCATTTGATATAACGGGGATCATTTTATATGACGGGGATCTTTAAACGATTAAAATCATTTAATGTTAAATGTAGTTTTAATGTGATACATAAAGGAGTGTGTGTATGTGTATGTATGTATGTGAATCCATATATTCGTAAAAATTCAATGGATAAATAAATCATAACACGTGTTAATATAACTACTACTCATTAGTAACTCAAATATTAATAAGAAATCTACTGATTCCAGCGTATACACTGCGTGCCAAAGTAATGCACTCTTTCAACTTATTGTGATCATACCCCATCTCCTTCATTTCTATTTTCTATATTCCATAATCCACTGATCTTATTTCTCTATGACCATTTTTTTCATAATCACTAATTAGTTATTATTATAACAGTTAATCATTCGTTAAAGAGGAATAATATATATTTGTAAAATCTCAGCGAAAGAATTTGAAGTAATCCCAACGTTTCGCCTGGCAATCTGGTCCAAGCTTTCTCAAGGAAAATACCAGATTGCCAGGCGAAACGTTGATTACTTCAAATTCTTTCGCTGAGATTTTACAAATATATATTATTCCTCTTTAACGACTCACATTAACTCGGCGCCCAAATATTGTGAAACTATTCGTTCAAATTTAGACGAAAGTTCTTCTTTAGTTAATCATTCGCTTTTCATATTTATCAAATGAACAATTATTTCTGTTTTGCAAATAATATCTTCATTTCAACACTATTTTTCATTATTATGTTTTGTACCGCAAAATGATTTTAGCTAGACGACCACTGGAAACTTGAATGACTGTTTTGTCCTTGTATGGAATTTCTCAGTAATGGTTATACGTGACTCCCACCTGGGTGTCGAACAGAGGACATTTGGTCTTGCACGCAAATACTTAATCCCTAGACCACTGAGATGGCATCCAATAGCACTAATGTCAATCAATACATGATATTTTCCATTACCAATTACATATTTACATAACTTTCTATATTTAATGATAGCAAACAATTTATTCATTATTTCTTAATATTCGTCAAGGTCACAGTTATCTTTCATCTGTAATCTATTTTCACTTTGACCTGTTACATAATTTATTCCAATTATTGAGAATATTTTCAATCACTATTCTATTTGATACGGTATTCTTGCATTTTATTACAAACTTATGTATTCTTGCCAACCACCAATACGATCGTACAGCATGAGTACATAATGCGGTTGAAAATGGAAATATTCTTCGCTGAATTGTCTTTATTTCTTTTCAAAATGTTGATTAATTTGATAGGTTGAGAAAATTGGAATATTTAAAGATAATTTTTCTCTAATCGAATGAATTCATCTGAAAAAAATATTAAGAAACTAAGAATATTAGAAAAATATCGGTTTCAGAGTAGTATAGGATCTCTTGACAAGATGTGGATGTATGTATAGGTCATTGAAACCATCTACGTAATGTATAACAGTCAAAATAATTGACTATTTAAATTCTGTCATAAAATAAGAGTATCAATCGATGATTTCAGGTTTCTGGAAATCATTTTCTACGTAGTATTATAAAAAGAAGAACAAATTATTCCATTATTAAAATTGTAAACTGTTTGTTGATATTTCAGGTTCGAATCCACCAGGTAATATCAGTTCCCTCAAGATCCTAAGTGAGTCATGCTAACGAGTGGCAATCAGCTCAGAACTAAGTTTATGTAAGGTACTGTACCAACTACTTCCAAAAACCTAACATCTGTTAATGAACTTTAATCCAGTCTTTAAATGATGTCATTTTTTCCCGTGACCTTAAAGGTGCTAGTTTAAAATCTGTTTAAAGTAACAGGTGATACTTGTAAAGTTTCTTTAAACTAGAAGAAAATATTAAGTTAATGCTACCATTATATGCAATAGTCAAGTAACTAACGTGATATTTCAAAATAAATGAAAATTTCAGGGTAGACAAAAAAGATATCTTAATAATGAAATTAATTAACCTATGACATTAATGTTCATTGCTTAAGAATTAATTCACTGGAGTAACTGTCTAAATGAAAAACGGTTATCTCCCCCCCAAACCCTCATCCACTGCTACCACCAACACTATTGGAAAAGAAGAAGAAACATGCAACAAAATGGAAATAATGTAATTCGATTATTCATTCGTAATGTTTCTGTTTCGTTTCTGTTCACCTTTTTTTTATAGTAGTTGTTGTTGTTATGATCAGTTTCCCTCAGTGTACTTAATGGAACATTAACATTTAGAATTAGGTTTCAACCTAATATCATTCAAATAAGACAATAACAAAAATAATTTGTATTGTTACTATTAATGCTAATATTGTTATTGTTATTATTATTATGGCTCTATCCAATATTATATGGTAACTGAGTGGTAATAATAACGGCAATATTGACCTCAACGTTGTCCATATGAAAGTAAATTATTATTATTATTCATTAACCTCTGATCTTACATTGGCTATATATCAGTGACACCTGCATATCCATAAGTGATTATTATTATTTTTTTATTAGCATGATGGAGTTTGTGAATATTGTGGAATTTTCTTAGTTTTAAATAGCAAACTGATCTTGAATGGACCAACGTTGAAACAAAAAAGCACTAGACAAATGTTTTTTTACCCCGGCATCGGACTTCCCAACAGTGAGCATCAACGATTCCACTAGCAGTCGAGCCCAGGAACTTCGGTCTCGCATTCAAACTCTCAATTTCTTGACCACTGAGTCGAAATCCAGTGATATATATGTCTAACTTCAACCTATTCATGAAGGTCCTGTGCCCAATCATTGGTGGGGTGCGTACTACTGGAAAGTTCCATACTAGGAGGGAATGGCTGTCCAGTGTTCCAGGTCATCACTGAATGTCTAGCTAAAATCAGTTCATGATTTAAACTTTGAAAACTTTACAATCTCAATAAACCCCTTCATATTAATCTTATTTGATTATTATGATTAAACATAAGTACATTGTTCATGGGGTTGTTTTTGTCTACTTCAAATAATTCTTTTTCAATATTGAGGATGTGTAAAGTTTTTTCGGATTTTTTTAAGATTTATACCACAAAGTGATTAAAATTACAAATATAAATAATTGGATGTCAACTCAGTGACCCCTAAATGCTAAGCGTTTGCTATGAGACCTAAAAGTTATAGGTTTGATCTATTATGAGGTTTAAATGAAGAATACTTAGAAGCCTTATACTAGGACGAAACGACTCCACAATAGTTCTTGGTTTTCAGCGATTGTCTAGCTAAAACCAATCGATAGTGCAGAACAATAAAGTTTTTATGTTTATGTTGAAAGAAGGCCTATATATACGCACACACAAAGTAAGATAAGTTAGTAATGACTCTAGTTTCTTTCGCATTATTGTACCGTTAAATTATTATATTAGACGAAGTAGTTTTAAAGATGAAGATTTCCTGTATACTTTAAGGATCATTTCGTCTAGTTTAAGAGTCATTGAAAATCAGTAACAGATGATTTTTCTTTATTTTTATACTTATATATATATATATATATATATATATATATATATATATATACTTATATAACTGTCATCTACTTTTGCAACTTCAAGTGGTGTCCGTCAAGGCTGTCCGCTTTCTCCATTTTTGTTTAACTTCATCATAGACCTATTGATGGAAATAACACTCTCGTCGACTGAATTCTCGGGTATTGATCTCCTTCCAGGAGGTCCACTTATCGACTTAGAATACGCAGATGACATAGTCCTGTTTGGTGAAGACGCTGACAAAATGCAGAGTCTTCTGGTAGCACTAAGCAACAATGCCAGAATGTTTGGGATGCGCTTCTCTCCCTCTAAATGCAAGTTGTTGCTTCAGGACTGGTCTGCGTCAACACCTGAACTAAGGATAGGGAGTGAAGTAGTCGAACGCGTCGACAACTTCACTTATCTTGGAAGTCTGATCAGCCCTAATGGGTTGGTGTCTGACGAAATCTCAGCACGGATTCGAAAAGCTCGTTTGGCTTTTGCCAACTTACGTCACCTTTGGCGGAGGCGAGATATCCGTCTATCAATAAAAGGACGAGTATACTGCGCGGCAGTCCGTTCTGTCTTACTTTACGGCAGCGAAACATGGCCTTTAAGAGTGGGAGACACCCGTAAGCTACTGGTATTTGACCACAGATGCCTTAGAAATATTGCTGGCATCTGCTGGGATCACCGGGTAAGTAATAGTGAGGTTAGACGCAGGGTATTAGGGAATGATGGTAAATCAGTTGATGAGGTTATGAATCTTCATCGACTGAGATGGTTGGGCCACGTATTACGTATGCCTGAACACCGATTAC